GTTTATTAGAATGCTAGAATGTTGCTCGGCCTCGTTGTGGGCTTATGCAATTTGATCCTAGTCTAAAGAGGCGCTCGAGCACTGGGAGTACACGGCCTACAATGCGAACCCTGCTTCTGAGGCGTCTTTCTACTCTCTACTTCTGCTGTCTTCTCTTGGCTTCCTCAGCCTCAGTCAGGAGAGTTGCCTCTCCTCACCTTGGCCTTCGGGCACCACCTACTCTACCTCCATTCAGCTTCCTCAGCCTCAGTCAGAAGAGTTGCCTCTCCTCACCTTGGCTTTCGGTCGCCTCCTACCTTCTCTCCTTACCTTGAGCTCAGCTCAAGCTCGGTACGGGCTCGCCCCGTCTTCTTCCTCGCCCTCGCCTTGCTCTTCCTCCATGTCTTCCTCTTCTTCGTCATCCTCCCTCATCTCCACTCGCAGTCGGTCCTTCTTGTCCACCTTCAGCGAGCAGGCCAGCACATGCATCTCTGCGAATTTACTCAGTGCTATGAACAGGAGGCTAAGAGATCGACGCTCTATGTCGTCGCTCTCCGCCTCCTGCTCAAGCTCAGCAGCTGCCGTTGCCCGTGGCGAGAACGCGCTGCCCCTCCTTGCCTTCTTGCTCTCTCCTTGCACGCGAGTCCAGCGCTTGCTCTGCAGCCACTTCCCCAGCCTCTCCTTGAGCGCGTTGCGTCCCACTCCCTGCTCCTCTGGCATCTTCGCCCACTCTCCCAGCGCCATGAACTCCAGGCTCCCCGGAGAGTAGAACGTGTCGTGGAGGTTGCCAACGGCCTTGTCCAGGACCAGCTTGATCGGCTCGCTCGTCCCTGCCTCGTTCAAAGAAGCTGCATCTTCGATGACTGCTGACAGCTCGCTGACGAGCTGCATGTCCTCTTGGCTTGACGGAGATGCTGCCTCCATTGTGATCCTCTCCAGGTCTGTAAACTCCAGCCACTCTCCCTCGCTCTCCTCCTGTCGCTGCGCTGCGTCGCTGGTGCCCCGCTGACCAGCCGCCTCAGAGTCAGGCTCCTTGTCGAAGCCGACTGCTTCGAGCTTGGTTGCTGCGCCTTCGAGATAGAAGGGCAGCTCCTTCATCATGCGTCGAGCATCCTCCGTGGAGCCGAGGAGGATGCATAGCTTGGACCCGTTCCAGGACTTGGTGTTCAAATCCTCCTCCATGTCGATGCCTTCAACGTTGATCTCGAGCCTGTTAGCGATCTCCAACAAGACTCTCTTGACTCTTGCGATAGACGTGTTGCCGCCGTTGCACAGCCCCTCCATCTCCTTCCTCGTGAAGCGACCAGATGCCGCCGTCGACTTGATGATGATCTTGATCTCCTTGCCGTCCTTGCCGCCTGCCTTCTTCTGCATCCTTGATGCCTTCTTCAACTTATTTCTGGACACAAAGCGATCAGCTGTCAACTCGACTGCGAGCGCCTCTCTGATCTTCGGGTCCTCGCTGAACAGAGTCAGGTGTACTCCCTCCATCGCTTCGCTCTCTCGGAAAGCTCGAAATGCTGTATCATTCGCCTCTGGGCAGCTCGAGGAGACGATCCACTCCACCTCCCTCTGTCTCCAGATGACGTTGGCCCCTACAGCGATGAAGCCTTTCTGACCTAAGCCTTTGTGGACTTGCTGTCCTGGCGCCCCAGCGACTAGCATGCCTGCCAGCGGCTGGAGTTGGACCGCTGCAAGGGACTGGCGCAGCAGCTGATAGCGATAGACGGCAGCTATCTCAGCCGTTGTCATGCCGCCCAAGGTTAGCAGGTGAGTCAGCTCTGCCAAGCTGCCCCCTTTGCCCCAGGGTCCTCTCTTGGCTCGAATCTTGAAAGATCGATCGTGCACGATGCTCACATGTACAGCTGTGAACTTGCGACCATCGATCGCGAAGTCCTCTCTTCCCTGCCAGAGCTTCTCCGCTTGTGCATTGCGGAGGAAGGAAACAGTCACCGGGATCTCCTCAGCACTCGCTATCTCGGGTCTATACGGAGCCTTCCACATGATTGCTTTACTCTCTTGCACTGAGTCTACGATCAGTCCGATCTCTTCAAATTTCTTCTTCAGCTTTTCTTCATGGTTGACATACACCGAGGAGATGCCCAGGAGAGTCATGGAGATGAAGGAAGTCACCTCGTTGCCTGCTGAGGCGGTGTATGTCTCGACCTTCTCCTTCTTGGCTTCTTCAATCTGCTGCATAAACCACTCTCTGGATGCGTCACTCCATCCAGTCATCGCTTCTTGCAGAAGCTCACGTCGTGCCTGCTGACATGTCGAGCGGATGGCTTCTGCGATAGCGTCGGGGGTGCATCCCTCCACAGCCTTGCAAGCCTGGGCTGTCCTGCTGTTCGGATAACGCTTCGCGAAGCTCTTCACCCTCTCGACGAGATCAGCTTCGAGGACAGAGGCATCCACAAGTCCGCTCTGCGTGTATTGGCATGATCTCCGATACAGCAGGTTGCGAACATTTTCATCATACTGAAGAACCATACTTAGAAAGCTATTTGAAGTATACAAACCTCTCGCTTGCAGCTTCCTTGGCGCCCTGGCGGCTTCCCCTACACCTGGCAGGGAGCCATGCTGCCGAAAATACCCTAAACCCTAAACCCTAAACCCTAAACCCTAAACCCTAAACCCTAAACCCTAAACCCTAAACCCTAAACCCTAAACCCTAAACCCTAAACCCTAAACCCTAAACCCTAAACCCTAAACCCTAAACCCTAGTAGTAGTAGTAGTTGAGTTTATTCTAACAGGGATCTCGTGACCTGGCAGTTCGGCCCGACTTGGCTGGCCCTTATGGCAGCCGTGCTTCTGCTCTGCTCCCTCCTCTGATATACTTCAGTGGTCTTCCCCGGCCTCAGCCAGTGGAGTTTCCTCCGCCGGCCTTGGCCTGGGTCGTCCGTGCTTTCAACTTGTGTTGCTTCCTCGGCTCCGACACACCTTGGCGGTCTCGGCCGGCCTTCGGCCAGTGAGTGAATGAGGGATAAGGTGGTAGGTGGAATGCGTATGGGTCCCTGGGACTCACGTCCCTTCCGAGTTCCCCCGGGCCTCGGTCCGGACCGGGCCCGAGAGCCCGGCCGGCCTCCGCCCGGCCTCCTCCTCCCGGCCCCCCTCCCCCCTCCCCCACCGGCTTACCTGCCCTTACCTTCGTTGCTTGCCCCATGTCCACCTCATTTATTTCTTCCTCCTTCCCCCCTTGGGGCCCACAGCTCCGCTCCGCCTCTTGTCCACCTCTAAGACTTGACTCGAGCCTCAAGCGCGCGAGGGGCCTGCACCGGCCTCCTCCTCCACGGCCTCGTCCTCCTCAGCCTCCATGTCGACTTCCTCCCTCATCATCAGCCGCAGTCGGTCTTGCTTGTCGACCTTGCCCGTGCAGCTCAACCCATGGTGCTCAGCAAATTTACTGATCGCAAGAAACAAGAGGCTTACAGATCGACTCTCGATGTCATCGCTCTCAGCCTCCTGCTCGAGCGCATCAGTCGCTGCTGCCCTTGGAGAGAAGGCGCTGCCCCTCCTCGCTGCCTTGTTCCCTTGCACCCGTGTCCAGCGCTGCTCGCCGAGGTACGCTCTGAGCTTTTCTTTCAAAATGTTTCGCTTCGATCCCAGCGTCGGCGTGGCTGCCCAAGCTCCGAGCGTCATGAACTCCACGTTGCCCGGCGAGCAGAAGGTGTCATGCAGCTTGCCAACACTCTTGTCTAGCTCCAGCGAGATCGGCTTGCCAGCTAGCAGCTCCTCCTCTGATGTCTCCAAGAGCATCGTCGAGAGGTCGAGCAAGACCTGTTGGTCGACTGGCCCTGACGGCGACGCTGCTTCCATAGTAATCCTGTCGATGTCGCTGAGCTCCAGCCATCCAGCGCCTTGCTGCTGCCCTTGGGGCTCTTGGGCTTGCTCCTCGCTGCTCGGGCTCCTCTCCTCCTCATGCTGAGGGTTGAGCTTAAAACCCATAGCTTCCAGCTTGACTTCCAGGATCCCTTCCAAGTAGAAGGGCATGTCTTCCATCAAGCGTCGAGCCTCTGCCTTGGTCGCCAGGGAGAGAGCTATCAGGCTCCCATCCCAGCTGAGCGTGTCACGATCCTCCTCGACCTCGACGCTGACCAGCTTGAGGTTCATTCTTCTTGCTAACTCCAACATGGCTCGCTTGACTCTCGTGATCGATGTGTTACCTCCTCCGCACAGCGCTTCCATCTCCTTCCTCGAGAAGCGGCCTGTGCTCATGCTTGACCTCGACTTGATCTGTACTCTGAAGTTGCTGCGCCCCGCATGATCTCTCTCGCGAAGTGCCTTCCTCTGCTTGGCAATCTTTCCCCTCGGCACGAAGGTGTCGGCTGTGAGCTCGACTGCGAGCTTGGCGTCGTCGCTGATGAGAGTGAGATGCACCCCCTCCATCGCCTCGCTCTCTCTGAACGAGGCCAAGGTCTGCTCGCAACTTGCCGTCGAAGGCGAGCTGAGCACCCACTCCAGCTCTTTTTGCTGGAGAGTGCCCGTACTTGCCCCAACAGCGACATACGTCTTCGGGCTCGGCCCCTTGCGACCTCTCTGCCCAGGACCCTGCACGAGCATGCCTGCAAGCGGTTGTACCTCTGCGGCTGCAAGAGATTGCGAGAGCAGCTGAAATCGATAAATCTGAGCGATCTCGGCCGTCGACATTCCTCCGAGAGCTAAGAGCTGCGATAGCTCGGCAAGGCTCCCTCCCTTGCCCCAAGGTCCTCGCTTGGCTCGAAGCTTGAACGACCGGTCGTGTGCAATGCTCACCTCTGTGGCTCGGAAGGCTCTCCCTTCTATGCAGTATTCTCTCCTGCCTTCCCATAGCTCCATGGCTGCTTCATTCCGAAGGAAGGAGACGGTGACTGAGATGTCGTCTGCTCGTGCTATCTCAGGTCTGTAAGGTGCTTTCCACATGATGGCCTTGTCGACTCCATCGACTGAGTCTACCATGAGACCTAGCTCCATAAGCTTCGTTTTCAACTTTTCTTCTTGTCGAACAAACATCGAGGAAATCCCTAGGAGAGTCATGGAGATGAAGGAGGTCCCCTCGGTGCCTTCGGTGCCGATGTACTCCATTCACTCAGAGAGTCTTCAAACAGGTCGCGTCTCGCCTGCCGACAGCGTCGGGAGTGCATCCCCCCTCAGCTCTGCAAGCCTGAGCTGTCCTACTACCAGGATACCGCTTCGCGAAGTTCTTCACCCTCTCGACGAGGTCGGCGGCCTCCTCGACGTGGCCTCCAGAGCGCTCGCCCTGCGTGTATTGGCATGATCTCCGATACAGCAGGTTGCGAACGCTCTCATCATACTGTAGTACCATGCTTAGAAGCTGTTTGAACTATACCAAGAACTTGCTCGCAGCTTCCTCCGGTCCCCTTGCGCTCTCCCTACGCGCCGCGGATGTGCATGCCTCGGGAAGGGGCGGCCTGCCTCGGGAAGGGGCGGCCTGCCTCGGGACTTGAAGGGGCGGCCTGCCTCGGGAAGGGGCGGCCTTGCCTCGGGAAGGGGCGGCCTGCCTCGGGAAGGGGCGGCCTGCCTCGGGAAGGGGCGGCCTGCCTCGGGAAGGGGCGGCCTGCCTCGGGAAGGGGCGGCCTGCCTCGGGAAGGGGCGGCCTCCTGAACCCTAAACCCTAAACCCTGAACCCTAAACCCTAAACCTTGAACCCTAAACCCTATTATTATTATTATTATTATTATTATTATTATTATGTGAGTTTATTAGAATGCTAGAATGTTGCTCGGCCTCGTGGTGGGCTTTTGCAATTTGATCCTAGTCTAAAGAGGCGCGCGAGCACTGGGAGTACACGGCCTACAATGCGAACCCTGCTTCTGAGGTCTCTAAACCCTAAACCCTAAACCCTAAACCCTTCTTCGTGATCCTCCTTCGTCGTCCCTATTGTAGCTGTTGCTGTCCTTTCAGTGCGCTTGTGCACAGAGCCACATCGACTGCTTGACATGACCTGAGGTGAGGCTTGCTCTGATCAGTTGCCTCAACACTAAACTCTAAACCCTGAACTTAACCCTAAACCTTGAACTGGGTTCTAAACCCTGAAAGCCTTCCGAGTTCTAAACCCTAAACCCTGTCCTCCGGGTCCCATTCCAGTCCGTCGGAGCCTGGTTTAGGGTTCCAATCCGAGCCCAGTCCGAGCCCGGTTTAGGGTTCCAGTCCGAGCCTGGTTCCAGTCCGAGCCCGGTTCTCCTTCCTAAACCCCTTCCCGCATGGAGATGGCTTGAGCGTGCGCAGCGTCTGCCGCCATGGAGCTAGGTATTCCCTCCTCCCTAAACCCTAAGTCAGGATTTTTGCATGCACTGTCATTGCATGCAAAAATGGTGGCTTTTTGCTTCATCAGACGTCACACCGAGGACGGAGATTACTGGCATCGGCATGATAAGCCTTGAAAATTTCGCCTCCAAACATGCTTTCACATGATGACTTGGGTGCGTCACAAGAGAATTTTGGAGCTTTGATGATCGAATTACTTTCAGAGCTAAACAACATCAGTTCATCGCATATTCAATGCTTAGCCTTGTTAAGTCTGGTTCAAGATATTATTTCTTTTCGAAGAGAAAACAGCATTAACAAAGCAACCAAATTTAGTTCCTCTCGTGGACTTCAAGCGATCAAGGTGGCCAGTTCAATTCTTGATTGCCACATCGAAAAAGAACTATCTGGCACATGTCAGCTTGTCGCTATTGAATTGCGTTCATGGCTCAGATCCTTGTATGATCATCAATCAGCACCCCCATTTCGAGTGGCCTCACTATCTCAGCTCGAGATGTCCCCTTGTGAGGATTCCAGGAATGAAATGAATACCACAGTTGCTTATCCAAGGATAGAGAAAGTCTTGGAATCAAAACGAAAAAAGAAACTCTATCAGAGAGCGGTGCCAACAGAAGGAAAGCATAGTTTCCAGGTTAACAACCCCAATCGCCAAAATAAGAATGAAAGAGCTGAAAGAAATACTCTCAAGTCAACGAACTTACAAAGCATGCATCAGACAATAAATCAAGCCGATATGTGCTCAAACGAAAGACGACACACACATGTAAAATTTGTTTGCTATGCGAAAAATAGGTGAAATTGACAACTGAAAGAATTTCACAGTCTTTGGCGATGATAGAGGATAAACCTACCTCTTTCCAAACCCGCCTGCTCTTCGCTGCAACGTCTTGCAAAGCTGTCATGTTATCACTAGGATTAGAAGAGGCCTCAAGGGTTTTACGCTTGATTGAGGAGAGCCTTCGTTCTACTGTTGGTTCGAATTGATTGTTGCCGAGTTACTCGATCTGCTAATGTTTTTGCTCCACCTCGTCTCAACAGATGAGGAAGCTTTACTGCGAGCAGCTGGTTTCCTGTCCCACTGCGACTTTCGTGTTAGACAGCGTGCCACTAGCGCCTTAGCCTTGGTGGGTATGTGTTTGGACCGCCAGGCACTGGAGCATGGCGATAGCTTGGATATGACGGTAAACTTGAAGCTAATGTTCGACGAGCCTGTGGTAAATCCGAAGGAGCCAATTCGAGTTGACGGTGAAAAGTTTCTGGAAGGATTTTCCCTTGCTAATGCTTCTAGTTCTAGCACTATTGGCTATGAAGCATTTTTTGCTTGGACGACAATCCTATGCTTTTTGGAACCTCAGGGTCCAAGCGTTAAGCTTCCTGCTTCAGTTAATCTGCAATGAAGTGATTTCAACCTTTTGATTCATGACTCTGACTTACAACTAGATTGAAACGATCTGCATCTTGGTTGGAAAGGTGATGCTAATCGTGGTTTCTGGAGTTATGACTCATCATGTAGGGTTCTCCTTCAGCTTGTCAAAAGGTCCGACGCAGAGGGTGTAAGTAGCATGAATTCTTGCCTATGCATGCAGACCGATAATTTCGCAGGTTCCTTCATCGCAACACTTCGGAACCACTGTGGTTTGAGCCGGTAGTAAAATGATTGCGTATTTCTAGAACCTGAAAAGCTATCAGGACGATGAACGAATGTTTCAGCAAGAGAATGACAAGTTTCTAATCAAATTTCAATTCCTGTTCCGGCGTTGCGTCGGAGAATTGGAGGTTGGAAAGCGATATGCTTATCTTGTCCAAACTAATATGTGCAGTTGGACAAGCTTTGCTCCAAATATGATCAGACAAAGCAAAAAGTAGCTTCCTTTTTATTTTCCGCTTGACTGACTGATGTTGGAGGGCTCTCCGTTTCCTTGCTGGCTGCTTCTCGCAAGTGGGGGATATTGGTTGCCTCCCTCAAATCTGCTCGTCAAGACAGCGTTGGGTGCTGTGTGAAATTTGTTTTCAGTTTTTAGCTCACAAGTGCGTAGAGGTCTTCATGCATATTTCTGCAGATTCAAATGAAGGAAAGTCGGAATGTTTTTTGCATCCTGATTTGTTTCAATTTCAGATCTGATTGTTCGTGGTATTGACGAGATTTGCAGGTATGGATATTGCTCTAGATGAAATACGCAATTTGACAAGGATATCAAGCGTAAGAAGATATGTGGGAAAGAGACTCTGCATCGAGTCACGTGCCTGGCAGGAGACTCGCTCGCTCTTCTCGGCTCTCATCATGGAAGTGAAAGGTGTGAGTGAAAGTTACCTCAGGCAAGCTGCTGCTACCATGTTGCATCCAGACCACGGTCAGCGAGCGAACTCAATTGAGCCTATTCCAGAGGAGGAGAATAGTGCCGTTGTTATCGACGAAAGCTGCTGCTGGTTAGATATCGAGGTCTGTGTTGTCATCGGGACTGTTGCTGGAATGGGCAGAGGAGAAGCTGAAGATGGCGTTTCATCAATGGTGTGGGAATACAATGAGATATCTGCAGAAGAAGAAGCTCTCTATCACGAGATCGCAAGCTTTCGTGAAAGATTATCTATCGCCTCGTTGCATTCAGGCGATCAAGACATTGAGCAACTACGAAGAAGATATTTGGAGTTGCAGGCATTGCTTGCTCGAAGTAAGTTTTCTCGGCATGTTCAAAGCTTCGAAGTGGCCAGACGAAGTGGCAAACTGTGGGAACTTGCTTTTGCGAACGCACCAAGAATAGGAAGAGACAAGTCGGTCAAAGCCTCCTTTTCTGTGTGCATTCCCTGTGGGACCTATCATGGAGCAGGAGAGCTGGGAGAAGCTATTCATGAGCAGCTAATCAGGACTCAACCATTCCTCCCCTTCCAGTGGCGCTTGTGCAGCAAGGGAACGGGACAGCAGGTCATCATATACTCAGATGGCCCATTTGCACGCTCGTTCGTGGACAGGAGGAGAGAACTGAGGTTAGAGCAGGCGGGGATAAGAGTCAGCTCTTCGAGTATTCGTTGCTTGCTGCGAATCCTGGGTCACACCGGCACCCATGCTCATTCAGCTGCGAACTCCTTGCTTGGGTTCCCATCAGAGGACGGCGGATGGGCAGAATGGGCAAAGGTACGCACTTGAGGGTAGACAAGAGGAGAGTTGTGACGCTGTGCACAGGGTACCTTGCTGAAGAATCGTGCTCACCTGCACATGGAAGACGTTATTGGAAGAACAGGGAAGTGCTTCAAAGTGTATCAGATGTAAACGATTTGTTCTCGTGGTCGAGAAAGAAATTGTTTCACGCTCCCCACTTCACTCAATCTCACCCTTCGTCTCCCTCCCTCCCTTGTCCCCCCCCCTCCAGGTCTCCCCCCCTCCCTCCATGTCTCCCTCCCTGTCTCCCTCCCTGGTCTCCCTCCCTGTCTCCCCCCTCCCTCCCTGTCTCCCTCCCTCCCTCCCTCCCATCAGGCTACTCAGGCGAGTCATTAGATGGCATGGTGACTGAGGACCAAGCTCAAGACTGTAAGAGACGACGACATCAAACAACCCGCGCATGCCACTTGCATGCCACAAACTTTTACTGCATGACCAAGACGATAAGCTCGCCTCAGTGTTAAGAAAAAGAAAAGAAAAGAAATCTCGAAAAGACATGATATCGAGATAAAGTAACGCCCCCTGATGTAGTGAGTGGTCGTAGGTTCACCACCCCTCTGAGTATCACCCCTACCCCCTAGTTATCTTTTATAACGTTCATCCGGTATCGTCGAATGACCACCCTGTGGGCTCAAATGACTACCCCACCCCAACTACCCCTTTCCCTCCCCCTTTCCTGCCTCTTCTCCCCCGTATCTTTTGGAACGGCTATGCAGTACCCAGTCCATTGTTTACCCTACCAGGCCCCACCCCCTTTTTTCACTCGAAATACCCGGTCCTTTAGTATCCCCACAAGCTACCACCACTGATGGTTGTATTCAAAAGATTGTATTCAGTCGTATCTTGCAGACCCCTCCCATCTCCCTGAGTGCTACCCCAGGAGTAACCCCCATCCCTATGACCAACCACCCCTGTTGTATGGATCATGATCATCACCCCTACTCTGACAAAAGATACCACCCCTCTTAATTCCCCAACCCCGCCCCCAACCTGCTTTATCTTTTCGATCCTCCGCGACCGGATCACGCATCCGAGGTACAACATGCAAAACCCAGTGTTCGCCATCGCAGAAGCCAGGCATGATGCACTGCTCCATCAGCTACCCCATCCGAACACAAGTGGCAACATCTCCTCGTGGCAAGTCCCTCTTCAGGCCAGACTTGCTACCGTGAATGCAGTCACGCATCCTGGTGCTTTCATTCCTCCTCATCATGTGCCGCAGGCATCGCTTCCTGTACAGCATGTCGCAACGATGCCCCAGGGATTTGTTTATCCTGTCCAGCAGACGGCTCCAGGCGTGATGTATCATGTCCCTCCGCAAGTCGTGCAGCATCCTGCTATGCATCAATATGTTGAAGTTGCGAAGACCGAAGCTTTCCATGACATCATGCAGCATCAGCTCCACAACCGTCTGGTGACTCATCATCCCCACCCCTTCACAACCCAACAGAAATTAGCCTTGAGGCACGAAGAGCTTACTATCGGGATATCTTCCATGTTTGAGATTGACGCTGGAAACTGAACAAAAAACCCTCTTCTTGTCAAGCACGGTATGTTTGCTGAAGTGGATATATCATTTGCATATATTGAAGTATGAAGTATAATTTGCATTGAGAGGAAAAAATCTTAAATATTTTCTAGTTGGACATCCCGGCCACTGCTACCTATTTCCTCTTGCCAGTATTTCTAAACACAGATGGCACGGCGCCGTTTCTCATTTGACCGGACTGACTGTCAGTGTCGTACCCAACTACATCACACTTGACCTTGGCACCCGCATACTGCGGCAAGGCGGCAATACTGGTAGTACAGACGTATAGCACTGCAGGTCATACGCCCCGCGACCACCGTGATCGGACCCGTCACGCGTAATTCTCAGTGGTACTACGGTACGGTACCACCGCCGGGATAATCGCCGGACTCGATCACTGAGCCTGCCTACCGTATGGCCGCGTCAACCGAGGCAGCAGCCCGGCAGCCAGCCATTCCATGAAAGTTGTCATGCTGCCAGGTATCGTATATCCGGGTACTGAGTACCGCCCTGCGCCGTACGGTACTATGTAGGATCACAGTACGGTATCAGGCTGAGCCTCAGGCTTGACTCAGGCCGGGCTGCCGCCCGCGAGTCCGACGGCGACTCGCCTGACGGTGACTCAGTCAGGTACAGTACGGCGGTCAGTGCACTGAGGAGGGGGTAGGGTTCCCATCAAGGATGTCAAGGAAGAGACATGTACTTCACTATCAATATGTGGATGGTCTCGGAGAAAACCAGAGCGGCCCGGCCGGGCTTCCGGCCCGCGGCGGCTCCGGCGCCGCGGCCGCGGCCCGGCGGCCGCCTGCCGGGGCCCGGCGTCTGTGAACTTAACTTGATCCGTTACGGCCGTTGAGTTCAACTGAAGCACTTGTCGGAATGAAAGTACATGGTGGAACAGAGAAGATCATGAAGGAGGAGACGAAAGAAAATTCATGAGAGGTCATGGAAAGACGAGACCACTCGCAGCAGCATAACTCGGATGATGAGAGCGAAGATGCACAATTGATGTTATCACTCACGATGTCTGAAGCTGCCTCTCCCATGCTGTAGTTTTGGGACGAGATCGAAAAATCAACTCGCTGCATTAAAGGGGATGGCTCGTTTGAAAACGAACGCTCTCCTGGAAGGATTGAGTTTGGAGATGTTCAAGCTGTTTTATCAGCTGTCAGAGTCTAACAACTTTGAGGCTCTAATCGTTCTTCTGGAAGGTGAGGCTGTGAGCCTACGTCTTTGACTCAACTGATGCCTTTGAAGCTCTGACCTCGGGTACGATGCTTGCAAGCCTTGTGGTACAAGACTTGAGCAACGCCGTGTGGTTTGCGGGAGCAAACGAGGAGGACCAAGTCCAGCAAGTGCTGTCGTCATGTTCAGACTCTCCAACGGAATCCCTCCGGAGCCTTTTTCTCACCCTGATGGTTGAAGAGAATTATCAGCTCGAAGAAGACATCAAATCCCTGGTGGACGAGGCGCGGACCATGTCCTCCCTCTTACCTGCAGAACTGATGAGGTGCGAGGTCGCGAGGTCTACTCGTAGTCTTACCTTGTCTTCAGGGATGTGATCGTAAGTCTGTCGACAAGTACTTCTCCGATAGCTCGACTCTTGCAGAGGTCCCACTTTCAACGCTTTGATGACTCCAAGTGTTGGGCCCAAGACGGCGAGCCGACGAGCTTGGGGAATGATATGAATGCAGGAGCAGCGGCACCAAGACATTCAACTTTCGATGAGCTGCGGAGAAGTATCGAGAGAGAGAAACTGTTGCTGGGAACGCAAGGCAGCACCGACCTGCAATCATCTGCCTCACTTAAGGTAATGCCTTCACAATTGGCGAGGGAAGAAGGGAAAGAAAGCTTCATCAGATTCGAAGACATGCAGAAGACTTTGGCTTTCGAGTTGTGGGGCATCGGCGAGGGGTCAACTCGACTCCTCGAAGTTCTTCAGGCTTCACATGTGAGCAACAATGCTGCAGTGAGCGACAGCCCAAGCAGTTGCGACGTCTCCTTGGATGCGTCATCACGCCTTGACTCCTTGTCCTTCATCTCTCGATCGAACCTCTTGCCCTCGAGTCAGGAGCAGCCGCCTCGAACAGGTGGTCGCGCGAGTGATCTAGAGGGGGAGGACGTGGAGGGAATGCTGCTCCAGACGCAAGGAGAGGGAAGAGACTCGCAGCAAGAAGCTTTCCATGCGCATGTGAAGCGAATTGGCGAGGCAGTGAAGCCAAAGCATCACGTGCAGACGCGAGTGAGAGCCTTGTCAAACGGAGGAAACAAGATGATGCCGGAGTACCTGAGTAGAAGGTCGACATCTCGTGCCCATGGCCTGTCCCAGCTCCATCGCAGCTGCAGCCCGACGTCTGATGCAGAGAAAGAGAACAGAAAGCAATTAGAGGCTGCCCGCACAGTGACTTCCTCCTCGTCTCACAGTAAGAGTCCGTCGCGATTGCCAAAAAAGCTGCAAAAGGCTCAGTCAATCGCGAACAAGAGCGAAGCCTCTGCATCTCGTCAACGACTGGAGGACAAGAAAGCGCAGGGGAGCAGGCGACCTCAGTCGTCGTCGGCGAACACAAGGGACATGAAGACTGGGTCTCGTCACCCAGCAAAAGATAACTCGAAGAAGAGCAAGACAGAGAACTCGTCGCCTTGGATTCTCATGCAGCTGCAGGAAGGAGGCAGCGCTGCTTCCATCGACGCTGTTGAGGACGTTGACGGGCTGCCAGCGGGTCCCCCGCCTGGCTTGTCGTCCACAAGTCGGAGGACGTCAAAGAGGAGTATCGTGGAGAGGTGCGAATGGCTGCAGCAAGAGTGGGCCATCCTCATCCTCCAAGCCTCGATTCGCAGAGCCCTTGCCAACAACGCCGCGAGGGCGGAGCAACAGAGGGCGCATGGTAGAGCAGCGCGGTGGACGTCTAACCGAGGCAAAAGGGGAGAGCAGGAGGTACCTGCAGAAGTCAAAGTGTCGGCTGGGCGAGAGAAGAAGTTGCCTCTGCGTGCTGTTCCGTTTGAAGATGTGAATAGACGCAGAGCTGCGAGAGAAAAAGTCGCGGTGAAGCGACAGGGCAAGGCAGCGAGCAAATCTCCTGCTCTGTGGGTTCCATTCAATCTCGGGGACAGGCCCTCTGCGAGGAGAGAGAACTTGGCAGAGGAGAGTGGCGCGCTCTCTTTCTTGTACACAAGTCAGTCTACGTTGCTGAGTGGGTCGAGCCTGAGGTCTCTGTTGCCCCTGCAGTCGCTGGAGACGAGCAGCGAGGAGGATCTGAACTCCCTCGGGGACCTCTCAGGATTTCGCGTTCTCATGAGCAGAGGGCGAGGCGCGGGAGGAGGAGGAGTAGTAAGAACGTGCATGCGCTTGAAGATGATGAGGAAAGCGTTCGTGTCATGGGCGGAATCGCGCAGCGTCAAAGGAGAAACTATGAGATTGTATTGATCGAGGACAAGAAATAAACAAGAGGGACAGATTCCTTGGAACGGAAAGTGAGAGTTGCGGGAGGATAAGCAAAAAATGGAGGACGAGGAGGAGGAGGGCGAAAAGGAGAAACCAATATGAGGAGGAGGACGAAAAGGAGAAACCGATGGCCTGAGCCTGGGATCGGCAGTTGATCAGGTCAGTTAATCTTCAAGGTCGTCGGGCTCATCAAAACTGTCGCTTGACCATCGACGTTATGCCAGACAGCATGCCTCCTCCTACCGAGATCACGCCTGCCACCCCTCAGCCTCCAACATGCCACAGACTCGCTCACCTGACACCAAGCCTCCTCCTACCTCTACAGCTGTCGACCCGGTGTTGAGCAGCCTGCATAGAACGAGTCAGAGGAGAGAGGGAGCGAGTGAGAAGAGAGAGAGAGCGGGCTAGGAGGGGAAAGCAGCGGTAACGCAGAGGAAAGTGATCGAGAGAAACAGAGCTGGCGGAGGGAGGGAGGGAGGGAGGGAGGGAGGGAGGGAGGGAGGGAGGGAGGGAGGGAGGGGAGGGGAGGGGAGGGGAGAGAGGGAGGGGAGGGAGGGGAGGGAGGGGAGGGAGGGGAGGGAGGGGAAGGGGGGGAGAACCTATCTCGGAGGAATGTCAAGGTCTGAGAGTCGGAGGAGGCGCCTGCCGTGTGCAGCATCCCAGCCTTCTCCCCCTTTGCAAGAGAACGCGCAGCAGCGTCAAGCACATCGTCGAACACCATTTCCAAGCGCATGTCGGTGATCTGCAACGAGGATGACAAGAGAATGAGAGAGGGGTAAAGGAGACCTCCTGACGCATCGTCCTCTCCCTGAGGTTCACGCTGATCTGCTCCTCATCCCGTCACTCCATCTCCTACGCCCTCCTCTCATTCCTCAACCTCTCCGCTCAGCTTTGCTAGCGCCAGCATCGGCTCCTTCCCAACGCCAACCGTCGCCACTTTGAAATTTGTCTGCCCAAGATGAGAATCGAATTGACTGCATGCAGCACAATGGCACCTTAGCAGTGACAGTCCTAGTCTGAAGGTCCACGCGAAACAACGAGGAAGTGTTGTGTATGCTGATACAGAGCTCGATATCCTCAGGCGTACCTGCGAAAGCTCACTAACTGTCCAACAGATTGAGTATGATTTGCCAGCTAGAGATTGTTGCAGCTCATCAAGAAGTTGTGCAAGAAGTGACTGGTTTGCAACTCGCCATATCATGTCATCCTGCCATCCCATTGTCCATCAGGATTATCATCTGCATCATCAACTCGACCTCCACCTTAATTCCCTCCCTCTATCACCACCACCACCACCACCACCACATCATCATCATCATCGTCATCGTCATCGTCATCGTCATCGTCATCGTCATCGTCATCGTCATCGTCATCGTCACCATCGTGATCGTGATCGTGATCGTGATCATCCACAGCCATAGCCATAGCAGCCATCAATTCTTTCCTCATCTTCATCATGAACATCAGCAAAAGCCTTTGAATCTTCACCTTGTGCTCGTGGTTTGCGTAATACTGCCGGATGCTCTCGACGTCGCTCATCGGGTCCCCCCCCTCATCAGGCACCACCTGGTACTCCATGCGGGAGATCTCCGACTGGATGGTGTAGTTGGCAAGCTGAGGCCTCTGCTCGTAGTACTGGAAGGTGACATCTGCTTCCGAGTTCTTCTTTGCCAGCCGTCTGAGGAGAAAAGTGAGGGTAGCGAGAGGACGGGAAGCAAAGGGGAGAAGAGGAGAGGACGGGAAGCAAAGTGGAGAAGAGGAGAGGACGGGAAGCAAAGTGGAGAAGAGGAGAGGACGGGAAGCAAAGTGGAGAAGAGGAGAGGGCAGAAAGCATAGGAGAGGGGAGGAGAGGAGAGGAAGGAAAGCAAAGGGGAGGAGGAGAAGAAAAGCTAGCACCTGTTCAGATCTCGTCGTGTTGCTGGATCTGCTACTCTCATCTGAAATCGTCGCAATCTCTTCACAAACTCCGCTGCTCGCGGCGACATCTCCGGCGTCTGTAGGGAATCACATGCTGCCAGTCTGCGCGCTATTCGCGTCATACCTCCAGCACTAGCTGACCGTTGGCATCGAACCCGTCCACCACCGCCGTCTTCTCTCCACCCCCCTGTTACATCGCCATACTCAGGCTGCAAGGTGGGTGTGCGTAATAGTGACCTTGGGAGTAGTGTCGCGCGTCCTAGAGCTCTTGGGAGAATCTGTGGGCAGCTACACGGTTTGAGAGCAGGTGAACAATGGAACGGGAGTAAGAGTCCGAGGAGGGGGTTTGAGAAGAGTTTCAAGCATCTTATGATATCCGACGATATGTTATGACGTGAGTTTTGAAAAAGATGTGACATTACATCACTTGTCACGACATCGGTATGTGCAACATTGGTGAAATGTGGAAATTTCAAACTAGTATACATAATGAACATGAGATGTGGTAATTTCACAAACCAGTGTACCCATGAATGCATTTCAATTCTTCTTTGCCATATTTTCTTCTTTGTTGTATGCATGTTTCTTCATTCTTGTTTCTCCTCTTCATCGGCAATTCACCTTGCTTGCCGAAAGCTCCGCCATGAGCGCGTCCAACCCGTCCATGCCAGCATCGCCTGACATCCTTGCAAGCTATCAGATCTTTGATGGGGTGGGGCAAAAAGGAGTGGGTGAGGGTAGGAGGCATTAAATAAGATATGGCCATGATACGAAAAGTATTGAGTATAGCAAAGGAAAAATGAGATAGGTAGAGATATAATTGGTTTGAAACTCTAAATCATGGGTGGTTCAAATGCTTAGTGTTCTGCCAAGTGGGTAGGGGTGGGGCAGTCCAGACAGGTCGGCGACGAGATGCAGTGACATTGAAGCAGAAAGAGTTGCAGAAGAGAAGAAGAAGAGAAGAAGAAGAGAAGAAGAGAAGAAGAGAAGAAGTAGATCAAGACAAGACAATATGCATTGATGACGATGCCAAAGACATTGTTTATCGTGGTCTGATTTGACATGAAATCTGGTTGTCCTAGTAAGGAAATTGCCATAAGAGATCGTTTTGGTGGACATTACTTGTAACTCGGATTTTATATGTCTGTTCATCAACAAGTCGTCTTTCTCTTCCTGCTTGTCGGGTCTCTGCTACCTGTCGATGCCTTTCACCCTTCGAGCTTTCCTCTCAAGCCAGCGATCAAGAGAGGAGCACTTGGATCTCTCCGGCCAGTACGCATGTCCTCGACGGCGACGATCAGCTCGCATGTGCAGCAACAAGTTGCCTTGCTGGCTTCTGCAAGTGAGGTGCAGCTGCAGGTCATGGTGTCTAAGTTTCTTGGCTATGGCATCTTGGTTGGATCTCTGTTCCTGCAGGTCCCTCAGCTCCTCCGCATCCTCCTCTCTCGCAGTGTCGTCGGGCTTTCTGCAACCGCGAGGTACAGCGAAGTTCCGATCAACAGCAGCAGCGTCATCTACCACTTCCTCCTCGGGTATCCACTGGCTTGCTATGGAGAGAACATCGTCGTCCTCATTCAGAACTTGATCGTCGTCGCGCTTATCTGGGCATGGAGGACGCCGAGGGTTCCAGTCCGAGAGATGCTGTTTTGCACCTTGTCCTTCGTCGTGCTCTGTGCAGCTCAACTCTCGCTCCCCAAGGAGCTTCTCCCCTGGCTCATCTACGTCAACATCCCATTCATCTTCGGCTCGACGGTACCTCAGATCCTGGCGAACGCGAGGCAGGGGCACACAGGGCAGCTCTCGATCCTCACGTGCTTTCTAAAGCTGGTCGGATGCTGCGTCAGAATCTTCACCACCATAACTCAGATCGGTCTTGATCCCGGGCTGCTGCTGGGCTACTTTGCAGGCGCGAGCATGAACCTGACGCTGGTGAGATGCGAGTTCATTGATGAGGAAACAATTGAGTGACTGGATGAGCAGGTCCTGCAAGGTTTCTACTACCGCGATGCGACAGCACAGCTGAACGAGGAGGAGAGGAGGAAGAGAGATGCAGACAAGAAGTCGATATGATCTATCTCAACCGACTTTACATATGCGTCATAGTACAAATGATCCCCTGCCCTCCTCCGAGCCCCCTTCACTGGAAACAGAAACTTCAGTTTAAAACATACTGTCATGAGTTTCCACACACATCTCTTTACTGAAGAACGCCTTCCGATTTCTCTGAGTCGCCTTGATCAGATATTCTTTGGCCGCATCTGTCATAACATCATTCTCAGTCTAGCAATCATTGCCATGTTTTCTTATCACTATGCATGTCTCATAGCCACCTATTGACCACCACCTCCACCACCTCTTCCTCCATAGCTTCATCATCATGATTTCATCACCTAATTCTGCGTTGCAAGCGAGTGCCACATGGTCACCGATGAAGTCTCGCCAGGCCGTTCGAGGCTGCCAGGAGCTGTCGAGCTGTCTGTCGGTGTACCATCCCGTCAAGCACGATTCTATCTTCGCCATCAACTAGACTGTCGTCAGCAACTCCACCGTCGCCATCTTTTTCACCGAATCCACTTGCAAGCTCTCAAACTTGTTCTCAGTGCAGAGAGACGCGAAGTGCTCGCAGTTACATGTCGCCATGTTGTAGTGGGTCTTCCCTTCGTGCGCCATGGTGCGGGCGATCATGTCGGGAAGCTGCTGCCCTGATGCGCGTGTCGAGGCGAAGAGCTGCGGCATGGTGAGGAGGCATCGAGACTTCCGTCTTCCACCTTCTTTCCCCCGCAGAATTCCGTCAAAGGCAGCACCTTGACTATCCCCTCGTGATTCAGCTGCGCCACACAGACATCGTCACTCCCGTCGACCCTCCCCAGCAAGACGCCGAAGTGAAAGTACTCGACGAGCTTCAGACTCTGCGGGGCAGTGCAGCGAACAAACACCTTGTGCTGACTTCAGCAGGAGGATTGAGTGCATCTATCATACCTTAGTTCCTGCTTTCACTCGACATCGAGCTTCAGCCAGCTCCATTTCAACATATCCATTCGGAATGCGCCATGGGCGAATCAGAGCCGAGTGGTCACTCTCATCGTGCTGTGCAGAGGAGCGACAAGCGCCAGCACCCATGTGAAGGAGCTTTCACGAGGCTTCTGATGCCTCTATGATACGCGGGACCTGACTTGATCTCAGGCAGATATAGATACGTCTTCCAGGTAATCTCGATGCTTTGACGCGACTGAGTCTCTGCACTATCCTTACTGTGATGATGCTCTATGAGTGACGTATGTTTGTGGTAGATGTATTTGTTTCTTCTCTCTATGAGTGACGTATGTTTGTGGTAGATGTATTTGTTTCTTCTCTCTATGAGTGACGTATGTTTGTGGTAGATGTATTTGTTTCTTCTCTCTGTCTTGGTTCGCTTTGTTCGCTCGCTTCCTCTACCCTCGGAATGATGTCGGTTTGATTGTAAAAGGCATCAAATCAACTAGAGGAGATAATTGGCTTTACAACAAATGCCCTCCAATATGTCCTAGGGGTAATCATGAGGCGGGCCCAGAAATATCCCGACAAGCGAATGACGGAGGTGGGATCATGCCACGAGAGGATGCTGTGGGAGGGAAGGAGGGAGGGAGGGAGGGAGGGAGGGAGGGAGGGAGGGAGGGAGAGGAGGGAGTAGGGTGAGGGAGGGAGGGAGGGCGAAGAGGAGGTGGGGGGAAGCGGCGGGAACTGAGGGAGGTAAGTAAAAGGCAGCTCTCTTTCATGGAGTCAGCTTCCTTGCGTGAGGAGATTTGATGACCATGTTCCCAGGGGCTCTCGGCGGGTGCTTGAGAGCCTTTGGATCCGACGATCACGACTGATCGACGAGGGATGGGGCGCCGGGCACACGTCTCTGAGGCGCGGTCGTCATGAAAGAGGCATCGAGGAAGGACAATTCACCTTCCTCTTGAACCTCAATCTCTCAACGTCCTCCTTTGTGTTGACGTTGGTTTTCTTCTTGACGGGGCTCGCGACGCTCTTCTGATTCTGCTCTTTCCTCGTCACGTCCTGTGCGTTCATTGCCACCTTCTCCTCCTTGTCGAGCGCGATGTTTGTGTTTCTCTGCAAAACTGACGACTAGTTGTCATGGTGCGACTTGCTAAAATCAAACTCACAATCAAGCAGCTCAGCGATGAAGGAGTCTTTCTCATGCGCAGAAACGTCCTTGCACCTTCACGCACGGTCACTCTCTTCCTTCTCCATCATGCTCTCATCCGCATCAGTATCCGCATCTCCATCTCCATCTCCATCCCCATCCCCCTCTTCATTATCATTTTCATCATCATTGTCGTCGTCATCATCATCATCTCCATCATCATCTCATCGGCATCGGCATCGGCATCGGTAGTCTTTGTTCTCACAGGTCAAAACAGATCTTCAGCGGCGCAGCTTCCGGCGGCTGGTAGACAAATGCGATCGCGAGCGAGTCCGACTGCCGGCGCCGTCAACAAGGAGCGAAGAGGAAGGAAAGTCCCACGTCTTGCGAACTGATCTCGATCTTCGGCTCGGTCACGGCGAAAGCAATGCACAAGAAGAAATCGTTCCAAGACTCGATAAAGGGGCATTCCCTGCCAGCAAGACAGCCTGTCAGCTCCACAGCTCGTCCTCCTCCTCGTCCTCGTCCTCCTCCTTCACCTCATCCTCACGCTTTTCATGTCGTTCTCTGTCAACCTGCTCACATAAAGGTCTCCCTTGCTGTTCGTTGCTCGCAAGCACCACACTTGCTCAGAGTCTTTTGCTGTCGTCATTGCGCACAACCTGCACGCTACGTCATTGTCAGCCTCCATGCTCGCGTCCTCACCTCCAGCCATCGCATGTGAGCGCAAAGGTAGCAACGCGAGAGAGCTGACATTGATGGTCAGCAAGAGAAGAACATGTGCAAGGTCTACAGCTCGCGAAAAATGCTGCGGATCCTCTTCAGACATGGCACATGTGAAGTCGATAGAGGAGGACGGGAGGGAAGGAGGGAGGGAGGAAGGGAGGGAGGGAGGGAGAACGAGCAGATGTCGAGAGAGGCGCTAAGGGATATAGAGGGAGGGAGGGAGGGAGGGAGGGAGGGAGGAGGGAGCCGGGCTTTTAAAAAACAAATCTTGGTGAAAAAGACAATTGTAGATCCTGCTAGCTGGCTGTTCCATGGCGCCGTCCTCCCTTACCGCCGCCCTTTCACGCCATGTCTATCTCTCCCTCCTCCTCCTCCTCCTCTCCTCCCTCCTCTCCTCCTGCGCTGCACCAGCATGCTCGGCGTTCGTTGTGAGTGGAGTCAGCAAGCTGAACGATCGGGGGAGGAGCGAATGTCCCCGCGCATGCCCTCGAACGGTGATGGCACCGCTCATGGCGTCGGGCACGGGAGCTCGCAGAGAGGCCATGCTCGAGGAGTGGGCGAGAGCCAACGGCATCTTCTGCATGCTCAACATCAAGCGGATGGCGGACGGAGAAAGGAAAGCTGTTGCAGCCAACGCACTGGCAGGAGGAGAGAGAGTGGTGCGAGTGCCGAGAGAAGTTTCGTTTGTGACCTTCCAAGGAGACGCCTCTCCTCTCCCGCCCTCGTTTGTCGATCAGGACACCTGGCAGCAGGTTTCTCTCCTCCTGCTTCTTTCCCTGCCTGACCTCAGCTAGCTGGACGAGCACTGGAACGCGAAGCTTGCGCTGATGCTGCTCCACGAGATGCGTCGAGGAGGTCAGGAGCCTCGAGCTGAGATGTTTGAGTGCTGAGAGCGCCATGGCAGAAGCGAGCAGGTGGTGGGAGTACTTACTCCACTTGCCCAAGAGACTTCATTCCACAAGTACGTGCAACTTCCGATCTCTTCCACCTGCTCTCGCTCATCTTCTTGCTAGTTCACTGGACGGACGAGGAGCTAGCTGAGCTTCAGAATCCTCGTCTCGTCGCAGCGGTGCGGGCTAGTCCGGTGGAGCTCATTTCTACTTCCTCTCGCTTGCTGAACATCCCCAGGCGTCGGACTCAAAGCGATCGCATGCTGGGCTGACGATCGAGGCGTCAGAGTGGCGTTACTTTGACCGAATGCAGGCAGCAGGGGAGCAAGAGACTTCCATGCTCGACCAGGAAACCTTCCAGCGCGACCTCCACCGCCTCCTCTGCGATCGCATGACTGCCCCTCCTTCCCTCGCAGAGCTGAGATGGGCCATGGACTGCGCTCAGAGTCGCTCGTTCGGCGTGAGCACGACAGAGGGAGTGAAGTGCTTCTGCCTGTGCCCTCTTGCGGACATGCTCAACCACGACCCCAGCTCTCCTGCTCTCTTCGACTTCGACCCTGCCACCTCCTGCTTCGCCATTCGAACCTCCAGGGCTTGGTCGGAAGGGGAGGAAGTGACCATCAGCTACGGGGAGCTGAGTAACGAGGATCTCCTTCAGTTCTACGGCTTTGTGCTCGACGACAATATGCATGAGTTTGAAAGTTTCGACGTGGAGGAGCTGGGGCTGCTCGTCCCTCGCAAATTGATCGGCTCGGAGGCAGACAGGCTCGACCGTCTTTTCCTCCTCTCCTCTCTCTCCTCCGCTGGCCTTCCCGTCCTCTCCCCCGACCACTCGCGGTTGCTGCGCCTGTCTCGGCGAGGCATCTCACCTCCTCTCATGGCGGTCGCTCGTGTCCTCTCCCTCAGTCGCGAGACGCTGGCGGCGCATGAGGGGAGGCTGGAGGAGCTCGCGGGGCGTCTACTGCGAGGAAAGCACGTGTGCTTGGACAACGAGCTGGAGGCATGGCGGCTCCTCCGCAGAGCCTGCGAGCGACGGTTGGAAGCGATGCCTACGACAGAGGAGGAGGACGTCCGGAGGCTTGAGGAGACGAAGAGAGCCAAGGGAAGTGAGCAGATGAAGCTGAGCCTGAGGTATCGAATGAGCAGGAAGAGATTTCTGCGAAGGTCCATGATGATGCTAGACGGATACATTTCAAACAGCGAGAGGATGGGAATGGTTTGCACTGTCCTCCTCCCTCCATCGCTCGACGACTTTGTCTTTGACGTCTCCTCCCATGACCTGAACCCTCCTGCCCGCGACTTGCCTCACCTCAGCGACGCGCGACGTGCAGCATGGACGGCTTCACTCGGAGACAAGGCAGCAGCTGGCGGTAGCTCCAGCTTCGTGAGCCTCGTCAGCCACGTGCTCTTCGACGCAAACGAGCAGCGCGGCAACAGCAGCTGCCAGATGGCTGAGGAGGCGAAGGAGGAGCCAGAGGGGAAGAGCGGGAGGAGCAGCTTCGAGAGCCGCATGGAGGGTAGGAAGGAGCAGGTGAGGGAGCTGCTTGCCCTATGGCTCTGACGGGTAGCAGAGGAGGCTGAGGATGAGCAGAAGTAGCCTGACGGAGGGGACAGAAGCGATGAAAGAAATGAGCGAAAACTTCTCCCTGATCGTCGACGTCTCAAACAGTCGGACAGGGGAAGGGGAGGCGGAAGGGGAGGCGGAGGCGGAGGATGTTTCTTTTGAGACACTCCTACAAGCGGTGAAGGACAGCAGAAAGGGGTGAGAGAAGAGAGGAGGAGGAGGAGGAGGAAGGAGGAGGAGGAGGAGGAGGAGGAGGAGGAGGAGGAAGGCAGTGACGCTCCTGTGATCTAGACCATTGCGAAAACTACCAACGCAACGAGAAAAGGCTCAAGCAACAGGTGATTCGATTCCGACCCTCCTTTTCTTCGCTCTTTCCCCCTCCTCTGTCTCCTCACTCATGACCAGAATGCGATGGGACGAGGATCAGTTCGAGCTGTTCTTTTAAGCTCAATGCTCCATGAACATGGACAGCGGCACGATGAGCAAATTGAGCCCCTGCGACGAGATTAGCCGATACCATGCTGCTGATGGGCTGGGGGAGGGGAAGGAGAGGAGGAGAGGGACGGAGAGGAAAGTTTGGGGGGGTTGAGGGGGGTTCTTACCATGATGAAGAAAACGAACATGACGCACGGGTCCCTGTCTTGATATCAGCCAGGGGATGCGGGGACCAGCAGGTGGAGGAGAGGAGGAGGAGGAGGGAAGGAGAGAGATCAGCGAGAGGGGAGGGAAGGAGGAGGAGAGAGAGTAGGGCGACCTATTGCCAAACATGCGAGCCAACATCCCTTCAGCTCCTGCTTTCTTCTTTCTCTTGGCTTGAACCCTCTCGATCTTGGTCTGCAGCATCGCCGTCACTCTCACTCGTTTCATACCAAATCAAAATCTTCCTGAACGTCTTCGTCCTCGTCGTCCTCCTCTTCCTCCTCTTCCTCTTCCTCCTCTTCGCCAGACTCTTCATCTACGCGAGAGTCAAAGTCTTACCCTTCTCTTTTGCCCTCACCGTCGGAGTCCAAGCTCTCCTCCTCCTCTCCCTGCGTCCTGTCAGCTGCTGTAGCAGAGCATGCAGACTCGCCTCCACTTTGCCGTCGTTCTCCGGGTCCTTGATGAAGATCTCGACAGCCTTGGGGACAATCTCGCTCTGACCGACGGTGAACCGAGCGAAAGAGGAGAGGAGAAGAGGAGAGGAAACGAAAGAGAGATGGGAGGCACCTTAAAGATCATAGCGACTGCCAACTTCTCCTGCTCGTCGAAGAGTCCGTTGCTGGCCATGAGGTGAGCTGATGGAAGAAAGAGGCGCATGACACGAGGATGTGAAGGTAGCCGAAGGGTAGAGGAGCGAGTGAAAGAGGGCATGGGGCGGAAAGCAAGAAGGAGTCCCGAGGAGGATAGCGATGATGAGCGGGAGGGGGAGGGAAGCGGGGCAGAGCGGTTGGGGGGCAGGAGGGAGGGAGGAAGCAGTCACCGAGTTCCGCTGGATTTGGTCGGCTCGAAAAGGAGGAAGAAACTCGATCCTGCACAAGGTTAGGGGGAGAAGAGGAGGAGGAGGAGGAGGAGCTGACTGTATCTGGTGGGAGGGGTGCCGGGGGAAGCGATGTCTTTCTTCCTGGCTGTGAGACATTTTTCTGCTCGTGCATGTCAAGTTAGCGACGAACAACATGACGGTGAGCTTCAGGAGACAGGAAAGGATGAGGGAGATCAAGGCAAACGGAGGAGGGGAGGGGTGGGGAGGAAAGCGCGGAGGGGAGAGGAGGGGAAGGGAGGCGAGGTGAGGCGGAGAATGAATGAAGGGGAGGCGAGGCGAGGCGAGGGAATGAATGAAGGGGAGGCGAGGCGAGGCGAGGGAATGAATGAAGGGGAGGCGAGGGGAGAAAGCGGAGGGGAAGGAGGGGAGGAGGAACAGGAGAGATGAACAATCCTGCTGCTCACCTGGCAACCATGAGATTCCACTTGACTTGGCCTGCAGACGGTCATTCCTCCAAGAGAGCTCGACCCAGAGCTTTTCGTCGCTGAAGTAATGATTCTTGTCGAACAGAAACTCAACCTGATACAATGTCGTCAATTCCAAAACGACAACGACAACATTGACAACAACAGTAACAACAACAGTAACAACAACAGTAACAACAACAGTAACAACAACAGTAACAACAACAGTAACATTAACAACAACAACAACATTAACAACAACAGTAACAACAACAACAACAACAATAACAACAACAACAACAACAACAACAACAACAACAACAACAACAACAACAACAACAACAACAACCACTACCACGACACCATTCCTTTGTTGGCTCCCCTCCCCCTCCCTCCCTCCGCCCTTCCGCCATCTTCAGCTTGCGTTCCCCCTCCTCACTCACCCTGAAGCCTCGCTTGTCCGGCGAAATGAGAAAGTCAGTGTCGCGGGGCTCGCACATGCCCTGCCGCTTGTCGTTGTAGCTGTAGCTCACGTCCCTCAAGTGCTCCAGCGCTCGCTCGTCCCTGTCCGTCACAACCTCCCACAGCGCCGGTGAGTTTCGTAGGACAGTCAGCCAGAAGCGCGGAAGCCCTTCTCCTGCACCGAGGCGTGACGAGAGGGAGAAAGAAGAGGAGAAGGTGGAGAGGGAAGAAGGAGATGGAGAAGTAAGAAGAAGGAGAAGTAAGAAAAAGGAGAAGGAGAGAGAAGAGAAAGTGTCAGGGGGGCACGTAGAAGAAGAGGAAACAATGAAGAGCATGGAATGGGACGATGAATTCGAGGAGGAGGATTAAAGCAGAGATGGGATTTCATGCGCAGCTTACCAGCCATAGGCTGGATAACGCCTCTTCTCTTCGCGCAGGCGTCTTGGAATTGAGTGAAGCACTCAGTTCGGATCTTTCGCAGATGCTCCGCAAACTCTCCCCTCCTCTCGTCCAGTTGCTGCTGCACCGCCAGCACCTTCTGCACCCGATCTTCTACCTGGCGTGAAACTCGATGAGGACGAGCAGGGATAGAGCAGGAGGAGAGACAGTCAAGCAGGACCAGGACCAGGGACACAAAAGCAGGAAAAGTAGCAGCAGCAACAGGACGAGGGAGGAGGAGAAGGAGATCGCAAAGAAAAGCAGGATGAGGAAGGGAGCAGTAGGAGCAGCAGCAGAAAAAGAAGGAGCGAGATCAGGAGCAGGTGCAGCAAGAGGAAGAAGAAGGGATCAATACCTCCTGTCTGAGACCGAGACCGAGAGGACAAGTGTAGGTGGGAGGATCGACACAAGCGATGAAGTGAAGGCCAGCTCTGAGATGTCGTGAGCAGAGCAGAAGAGAAATATAGGCGA